TGCAACTGAGGATCCAGTTTTTGATGTGGACTATTGAATGATAGTTCACACATGTTTAGTTCGGTGCTGTCGTCTGTCTCCTCTAAAATGGGATTTAGCAGGAAGTCCTCTCCGTGCATTGGAATGTATGGAGCCAGACTGTCCAAGTCTAACTCGCACAGATCCTACAGTAAAGCACAGCACACAGGAAGGTTGTTCACAACCACGTATACTAAAATTCACAAATTTGGGGCCAGTAAGTGTTACTGACTGACTGTTTTAAAAATTGATAATAATAAATGTTTCTTGAGCACTAAATCAGCATATTAGAATGATTTCTGAAGGATAATGTGACACTAAAGACTGAAGTAATGGCTGCTCAACATCAAATGAATAAATGACATTTTATGTATAAAATTATATAAAATATATTAAAAAAGAAAAGTTATTTTAAATGCTAATATTTTACAATATTGCTGTATTTTTGATCAAATAAAAAAAAAGCCTTTTTGCAACATCTTATGACCCCACATTTTTGAAGTGTAGTGTAAATATGTTTGGTTTATGAGTACAGTAATAATTCAGTCCCATGGTATATATCGTAGTACTATGGCATAAACATCTGATACCACAGTAAATTTCGAAAGGGTACTCACACAATTGAAATTGCAGCACTCTTCTGTGTTATGTGTGATCTCTGTACAGTCCTGAACTTCCTGTATGTCACCCTCTGAGCAAAAACAGAATTCATTATCATGATAAACTTAGTTTTTAATATTTGAAACATCATTCCCTGTGATATTTTCACATGTTAATTTTACCTCTTTGGTTTAGAGGTGTTGTAGGAATATTGTGCTCATTTGATTTGGTTTTCAGGCTGCTATTGTCTTGCTGGGCTGCAGTCAGTGGAAAAGGGGCAGGCTGGGATTCACATGGTTTCAGAAGTTGTTCTGTCTGCTTCAGCAAATATGACAAATCGGAGTGCTCCACTCCACTACAAAGGTACAAAGTGAAAATTTTAAATTAAAGAAAAAATAAATAAATAACAATAAACCTTCCTGGGAATTTAACCTATGACCTTGGC